ACAGGGAAATGTTTTTTCTTTAAACAAAAATATGAAAAAGCCATAAGGGTCTGAGATCAGAAATTGGGTAAGATTCAAACATTGAAAGACCAGGAAGCTAAAGAATCCTCCTCCCCCTGCAAAAAAAATCACCATAATCTCACTAGTGTTTATATTGTAACATTGTTAAAATAAGAAATTCCAAAAATGTCCAATGATGATTATTAGATGTACAGCAACAAGTTACCTGTCTGAAGAACTCTTCCAGAAGTGACATTGTCCAGCGATGATGGAGGTCCCATGCTTTTGCTGGATGGCTAATATCAGCTGTGTGCAGCATCAGGGATAAGGCTTTTGGCTTTTCAATCCTGTAAACCCAAAGGAACCAGCATATGATGATCAAACTCTTCAGAATCTCAGAAAGAGTTGAGGGGGGGAGGAAAAACACAATAATTAAAAAATCTTTTCTCATTGTGCCATTTGAAATCCCACTCCAGCCGAATTGAGGAAAAGGCATCATTTCATCCTATGATTGGTATAGTCATTAGCTTGGTCTTATGTGTATACTGTATTGGACATATCTGCCTCAAAACCATTTCTGGAATGATTATGTCAATCAAAGGAGAAAGAGAATCTAAGAATCTGTGACTTCTTTTTATTTGTTCTTTTTGGATTGATTGAACCTTTGATAATTTAGTTTCCCAATGGGAATTATTTTAAATTCTTATTGGGGCAAACTATTACTGGCCCTGAGAACATACTTAATTGTGATACGTACAATTCTTGTGTTTTCTCCTCTGAACATCATCACTTCATGACATCACTCAATAAAATTATGTTCAAGGAAATATTCTTTAAAAGTTCAATGACATGGTCAAGCACCAGCTCAAGTGCCTATAAATACACATGATGTCACAGCCCTACTTACGCTTCTGGCTGCTGCAGAGCAGTCTTCATCGCTTTGATTTGCTGGAAATGACAGGACATATCTGTGGCCATCACCATCTCAATTACCAAGGTCCGAAACTCCCTTTCAGGGACACCCCAAGCAGAAAAAAGGATGGGTGTAAAAAAATAAAAGTATAAATTAGTTTCTTTTGCCACTTCTAACTAAATTCTGACATTTCTAATCTATTTTAAGCCTTTTAATTTTTCCCAGCAATGTTCTGAATATTTTAGTGAAAAGGTGTTACACATGTTTTTCTGCAGCTACCCCTAAATATTTTACATATTTTTTGTTATTGTAAAAGAAATCATTTTCTTTCACTTTCCAATAATTTGCTGCTATTCTGTAT